TTCAGGAGCTCCCCCAGCTCCCCTCCAGTTCAGCCACCAGGGCAGCCTCTCCAGCAATCACAGCGCCTCCCTCTCTCCCTCCACCCCTGCTCTCCCTCCCTCCACCCCTGCTCTCCCTCTCTCCCTCCACCCCTGCTCTCCCTCCCTCCACTCCTGCTCTCCCTCCAATCTTAGCTCTCCCTCCCTCCCTCCGCCCCTGGCTCTCCCTCCGTCCAGCCCGGCTCTTCCTCCCTCCAATCCCAGAGAATATGGCCAGCCAAGCGGGCCTGGGTCAGGCCCCACCTGCATCAGGAAGTGGGAGGGAGAGGAAAACGGAGGTGCGGGGTGGTGGGGGGCACATACCAGCCGCTTCCCTAGGGCAGGATCATCCGGGAGCCTGAGGCACTGGAAATTCTGAGGGGCCCAGCCCGGGAGCCCCGGTCAAAGGGGAGACGCGCCCTGCCCCTGGGGAGCCCCCCGCCTGGATGGAGGCAGGATGCTCTGGGGGTGACTGACTGCTGACTCCCCTTCCCCTCCGCCTCTGCAGCCAGCAGGGCTCCCAGGATGGGGGAGCTCTCATCTTCGGGGGCGTGGACAGCAGCCTGTACCAGGGCCAGATCTACTGGGCGCCCGTCACCCAGGAGCTCTACTGGCAGATCGGCGTGGAGGAGTGAGTGTGGCGCTCTGGGGCGGGGGCGCTTCATGCCACACACACACACACACACACACACACACGCTCACACACACACACACACACACACACACGCTCACACACACACACACACACGCTCACACACACAACACACACACACACACACACACACACACTCACATACAAACACACACACACACGCTCACACACATGCTCACACACACACACGCTCACACACACACACACACACACACACACACACACACACACTCACACACATACAAACACACACACACACGCTCACACACACATACAAACACACACATACAAACACACACACACAGGTGGGGGTGGGGGAGGGGTACAGGGGACCCCCAACCCCCTTCAGGCCTGCCCCCCAAAGCCTCAGCTGCCCTCTGCTGGAGTTTCAAGGCCCAGCTCTGCCTGGAGCAGAGGGTGGGATGGGGACCACATAGGAAGGGGCAGGATTTGGAACCCCAACTATTCCAGACCCTGCCGTCCAACCCTATGGGCTTACAGATTAGGAAAGGAGCTAATTTGCTTCAAGCGCCTATAACAAATCTGCAGCCCTGGCTGTCAATGTTTCTAGAACCTTCCTCGGAACGTTTAAGAGGAGCCTCCATGGCCATTAGGTGGCCCTTACGTAGACTGGCGTGGCGGGAGGCACCTGGCGTGGGTGGCCGTGGCTGAGTCCCTCGCAGGTGGGGGAGCTCCCCGCAGTGCTCGGAGCTGGGGGTGCTCAGGCCGCTCTCCCCCCACGCAGGTTCCTCATTAACGGCCAGGCCTCCGGCTGGTGCTCCCAGGGCTGCCAGGCCATCGTGGACACGGGCACGTCGCTGCTCACCGTACCGCAGCAGTACATGAGCGCCCTGCTGCAGGCCACGGGGGCCCAGCAGGACCAGTACGGACAGGTGTGTCTGGGGGGGCGGCCCTTCCGTGGGGGAGGCCCGGGGGAGACACTTACGGTTGCTCCTGGGATGCAGGAATGGCCTGATTCTTGGCCTCCATACTTGGGGCTCCCCGAGGCACTGCTGTGGGGAGCCCCCCGGGTGACCGGGGCAGGGCCTGGAGCCTGCTTCAGGGGCAGGTGCGTTGCTGAGGGGCTGTGAGGAGGCTCCTACGAGGCAGCATTTCTTCGGAGCTTCATCTCCTTGGAGGAAACAGGCTGAACACAGAGGGAAGTCACTGGAGGAGGGTCCAAGCTGGTGAGAGATAAGGGGTTAAAAAGTATTGTTTATGGATTTCAGAGAGGAAGGGAGAGAGGGAGAGAGAGAGAAAGAAACATCAGTGATGAGAGAGAATCGTTGATCGGCTGCCTCCTACATGCCCCACACTGGGAATCGAGCCCGCAACCTGGGCACGTGCCCTTGACCGGAATCGATCCAGGACCCTTCAGTCCCCAGGCTAACGCTCTATCCATTGAGCCAACCCAGCTGGGGCGAGGAATAACTTTTTAATCCACATGTCCCTCACCTCCCTCGGGCCAGGCCCCTTGCTCCCCCTTTCTCCAGAGCCCAGCAAAGCGTTTGTCTGAGTAATTCCTTCCCATCACCTTTTGGGGACCAACTCTTTCCCCAGATCTGTGTGTTTCCAAAAGACAGTTGCAGAGATGGGGTACAGACTCAATGTGTCACGAAGGGAAATTCAGGCAAAAGCGATGTCTTTGGGGTGGAAGAGATGCCCAGTCTCCCCAAATCGCACCCCCTGTGAGGGATCGGGACTCAGGGCTGGGACCAGAGGGGCTGTGGCCGCCGGTGTTGGGGAGAAAGGAGGAGGAGGAGGCCTCTCAGGCGGAGGTGAGACAGCGGCCCTGCTCCTCTCTCCGTAGTTTGTTGTGAACTGTAACAGCATCCAGAACCTGCCCACCTTCAGCTTCATCATCAACGGGGTGCAGTTCCCTCTGCCGCCCTCCTCCTACATCCTTAACGTGAGTGCGGGTCCCGCAGGCGGAGCCAGCAGGCCCTGATGGGGTGGGAGGGAGGCGTGGGGAGCCAGGCACACTGGGTCTCCTTACCCTGCATCACTTCCCGTAGAATCAGCTTCCCCACCCACTGATTCCAAACCCCCTCCTCTGGGACGAGGCTGTGAATCGTTAATAAGAGTATTAACTATTATTATTCATCAGTGGGGAGAGGCCTGGGCTCTTCGTAGCGCACCTACCAGGGCCAGCCACTGTGGGAAGCACTTTGTCTGCACTGATCTACTTACCTGACACGGCACTCAATGAGGGAGAGACTGATTTCCATTTTACAAGCGAACTCCTGGAGGTTCAGAGAGGTTAGGCAACTCACCCAAGGCCACACAGCTAGTCAGGGTGAACCTAAGGTTTGGGTCCCAGTTGGTCTGCCTTGAACGCTTGACCCTCAGGAGACCTGGGAGCAGGAGGTGGGTGGGTGGGGGGCAGGCAGAGAGGATCACTGCACTCCCAACTCCCCCGTTCCAGAGACTCCCCCCACCGGCCTGAGCCGTGGAGAGCAGAGACCCTGGCCCGCTCATTTCTGCATTTGTGCCTGCCCGGGCCCGGGGTTCAGGGCCGAGCGAGCGTGCCGGCCCACGTGTGTGCGTGACAGGAATGCATGCTGTGCTCTGTCTTGTGCAGGACAATGGCTACTGCACCGTGGGGGTGGAGCCCACTTACCTGCCCTCCCCCAACGGCCAGCCTCTGTGGATCCTCGGGGACGTCTTCCTTAGGGCCTACTACTCCGTCTACGACATGGGCAACAACAGGGTGGGGTTCGCCACTGCCGCCTAGACCCAGCGCCCGGACGCCCAGGTCCCCTCCGCCTCTCGGCCCCCCACCTTGCAGGGGCTCCTCTCTGTGCTTCTCTGGATTCAGCCTTCCCTTTCTGGACTCTGGACTTTTTCTAACAATAAATAGTTCTTCTTCATGTTGGTCGGCCTGTTGCTTTTTTTAGAAGGTAAGCTGCGACCTGTAAGGAGTGGGGAGCGAGAGCCAGGGGCGAATGTGCCTCTGCTGATCCATGTTGTCTCCCTGCTGTGGGCCCCCCTCCCTCGTTGCTTCCAGGCTTCTGGGTGGGTCCCTGAGATTCTAAGAGAAATGGGCCATAAGGTAGGGCTCGGGGATGAGCCCTGTACCCCTCAGAGCTTCTCTCTGGAGAGGAAAGACAATGGAGTGGCATCCAGGCAGGGCATTCCTTGGTGAAGGGAAAAGGGACCCTATTCTGACAACCCAAAATGCTCTGTTGACCAAACTAACCAGATAGCCTCCAGCATTACTCACCCCTATGTCCACAGGCATGTCCACTAGCAGTGCGGCCAGGGGGGCCGACAAATCTAAAGCCGTTTTCTTATCTGGGATCCAGCGTGCGCTGGGCGCTTCTTGAGGCAGGCCGGATGCCTAGGATGCCTGCGTGCACTTGTAACAGTCATGGGTCCTCTAGGAGGAGGCCAGTGCCACCAGCACCTATTTCCAGGAGCGCTTCTGAAGGTCTGAGCTGAGTTAAGCTGATGCTATTTTCACCCAGGACCTGGATTTGAAGAAGGGCTGGCCCTCAACCGTGCACAAGAGGGAGAGCTACTTAAATCCCTTGGACTCTAACCAACTTGTCCCTCTAGATTCATTCCTATTCTCTCTAGGAACCAGCTAGAAAGACCCAGAGGCAGGAGCTGGAGGAGGGAAAGGGGGAGGGGGGGAGGAGGGGGAAGGGGAGGGGAAAACATAGAATGATGGCTTAGGACCCTGTAAGTTCCAACAGGAGAAGGTGACATGAAAGATCAGAACATTGCTGAGTTGGATGGTGGTGGTGGGTACCAGAAAACTCGAACTGATGAGACCTAGGTTGGAAGGGGCAGGCTATAAATGCAAAGCTGATCATGGGAGGGAAGGTGGGCCCCATTCCACTGTCACACTTCTTCCATCCTGCCTTCACAAGGCTGACCCCAGCCTTGCCACTTATGTCCAGAAGCAGGTGTAAAAGCGCAAATCAGGTGGCAAACTCAGGCTGCCACCGAAGCGTTCCTATGGCCACAGCACACCGCCTGGGACCCTTCATCTTTCCTAGACTCTTGAGAAAGACAGCCTGCTCTGTGCCTTTCCGTGGGGTGAGACAGGTCACAGGGTATGCAGGAGTGCGCTCGGGCTCGGGACATCACTGTATGAGAAGAGAAAGAAAACTTGCCAAAGGGGCAGAAGCTAAGTGGGTAAAAGATTCCAGGTTAAAAGCCCTGTCTACCGCCTTGGGCCCAAAGAGCGGACTACAAATCCCGGCGTGCCTAGTTGAGCCGCCGCGAAGACTACGTTTCCCAGCGGGCGCCGCGGCGGGCCACCGGGGGGCGGAGCAGGGCGGGGCGGGGCCGCGGGGGTGGGTGCTGCCCTCTGCCGGGCGCCGCGGGAAGTGGGTGCGGAGTGACAGCGGGAGCTGGGGCACCGGGCACGGGGCTCGGTGACAGCGGAGGCGGCGGCCGCGGGCTGGACGTAGGGAGCGGCGGCGGCGCCGACGGCAGCGGGCCGGGAGGACGGGGCGGGCTCCCCTGGCGGCGCCGAGCCGGAGGAACTCGGGAGGGGGCCGGCGGGCGCAGCTGGCGGACCGGACACCTGAACTTGGGACAAGTTGCCGGAGCCCGGGAAGCGGGCGGCGGACGGATTGACCTTCAGAGCTAGGTGAGCGGGGCCGGGGGCCAGGGGTGCGCGGAGGGAGGGCCCGGAAACCCCGGCCCAGATCCCCCCGCCCCATCGGGGGGTCCGGGGACAGGTGGGTGGGGGGGGTGCGGGCTGGGACGGGGAGCGAGACCGTGTGCGCCGCGCCGCCGCCGGCCCCGCCGTCCGTCCGGCCCCGGGCGCGGCACATGGTCCGAGCGGCGCTGCCCGGATCCCCGGAACCCGCGCGGCCCCTCCCTGCGGGCCCGGGCCGGGGGCGGCTTCCCCGCGACCTTATGTAACCAGGCGGGAGGGGCCGGGGCGGGCGCGGGCCTTCGCAGCCCGCGATCTGGGAGCCTGCAGGGGCGGGAGGCGTGGGAGTGAACTTGCGAGAAGTTGGAGGGACGCGCAGGCCCTGCGCCCGCTGCTTCTTCCCGGCCGCGGCGGGGGCGGCGGTGCGGGGGAGGGCGCCGGAGGCCGGGAGGTGTGCGGGGGCCGAGTCCGGCCAGGCCCGGCCGGGATGGTTTGGGGGGGGGTGGGAGGGCCCAGCGGCGCCCCGCCCCGGGGCTGGGCTGTCCAGGGTGTGGGGCGGGGGGGGGGAAGGGGGCGGGGGAAGCACCATCCCTTTCTCCCTCCCTCTCTGTCCCTTCCTCCCGCTGCCTCTCTGGAAGCAGCCGCCCGGCATCCCTGAGCGCAGGCTTTTTCTCCCCCTCGCATGATTCCACGACCACAGGGGACCCCGGCCCCACAGCTTACCCTCAGCGCACCCCTCCCTTCTGGTTTCCCGGGAGCTCCCAACCATCTGCCCGGCCCCGAGTACCGCCCCCCCCTCCGTGTGGGCCCCGAATCCCGGAAAACACTCCCCCTTCCCGGTGTTCCCGGTGCCCGCGCCCCCCCGCCCCCCGCTGTCCCGCCCCCCAGCCCGGCGCTCCCCCCCCCCCCCCGCCCCTCCGGACGGACCGCGGCTCGGCCGGTGCAGCGCTCGCCGCCGGGGAAGCAGCGGCCGGGCCAGCCGGCCCGCCCCGGCCCCCTCCGCGGCCGGCTTCACGCACGGCTGCCCCAGCGGCTTCGGGCTGCGAGAGCAGGTTCGCGCCGCAGCCGCCCGGCGCGCCCAGCCTGGCGCCCGGGGCGGGGCGGGGGGGCGCGCCCGCGGTGCCCAGGGCCCCCCCTTCGGCCCGGCTGCCCTTCTCCGCGGCGGGATCGCCCCGCCTCGCCGCCGCGGTCTTCTCGCCGGTCCGATCTGCGCCGCAGAATCTGGACTTAACACTTTGGCTTCGCGTCCGTTGGCAGGGGAAGCGTGGTTAGTGACCGCCCAGCCTCCACGCCCCCCCTCCCCCCCCCCGATCCTCAGAGAGGGGGTGCCTCGTGGAGCCGGGAGGGGGTCCAGGTTGGGGCAGGCCCCCGTGGCATCTCTGGGACATGGACTCAGGCCCCTGCACTCGCCCTGGCCCAGATTCCACGGGGTTCCATCCTGCGAGGCCAGGCCCGCGCGTGCCCGTCGGAAGGCAGCTCCTGGCTCCTCGGCCTGTTCCCTCCAGGCCTTCTCTGTGCCCCTGGGAGCCGGCTCCTCGCCTGCCCTCCGGGAGGACACAGTCCCAGTCCGAAGAAGAGACTGCAGCGATCACTGGACGGGGAAGGGCCTGAGAGACTGCTACTATGCTGGCCCGTGCCTCAGTTTCCCCAGCTGTGGAGAAAACAGCGTTTGACTTGGCCGGGCTCTCTCTGCCTGCCTCCTGGCTGCTGGGACAGGGGTGGAGCCAGAGTGCAAATGAAGGGCTGCTTGAAGGGACTGTTCTCGCAGAGGGAGCTGACAGTGTGCAAGGCAGCTCTCTCTTGTCTTAGCTCAGTGAGGTGCAGCCCAATGGGGACCCAGGTCTCCTACTTCTGGGTCCCATGGAGCAGCTGCAGGGTTTGGGGCAGGGGACATCTCAGTGAGCACTGCATCCCGAGAGCCAGCTGGTGACAGTCAGAGGTGGGCAGGGGCTGGGCCGGGGCAGGCAGGCCCTGTGGGTCCTGGAATAGCAGAGACCCAGTGGCCATCCCCGGGGCCAGTCAGGACCCCCTCTTAGTCTCTGCTGGAAAGTAGGAAGGAGGGGCCTCCACCTCTCGGCCCGGCTGCCCTTTGAGGGTCCGGCTTCTGGCCCTGATCCCTCCCGGAGCTCTGTTTATGGCTGTAATTGTATCATTAGCCAGAGTTTATAGAGTTACTTAGCACCTGCCCCCACAGGGAGTGGCCCCGTCTCTTCCTTTTCAAAGTCAACTTGGTTTCTGCTGGCAGCAGGGGTTTCCCCAACCACAGCTGGCAGGAAAGCCAGGTTGGGCCTTTGTCCTGTGGATGGAGGGCAGGCGGCACTTGGGGCCCGGCCTGGGGCTGCCCTGGAGATGACCGTGGAGACCGAGCTGAGAAGTGTCCGCATCCCAGGAGGCAGTGTCCGTGTGTGTCATGTGTGTGTCCTCACCTGAGGAGAGAGAAAAGACACCTCGTGGGCTGTGGTGAGCATTCAGGAGGAGCTGTGCCTGGTCCGTGGTGGGGCCGTGGAGGTGCTCTGGGGGCCGGTACGCGGTGTGATTGATGGGAGTTTGTGTGTGACTGTGAAGTGCAGCCGTCTGAGTATGTATGTTTGGAAGAATTGTGCACATGCATGTCTGCGAGACTAATAGTGACACGGTATTATTTTAATAGAATCTTCGCCCATTCCCTTGATGCTCTAAGAGGACAATATGGTAATAAAACTTAGTTGTAAACATTAGTTGCCAACATTTATTGTGTATTTATTCTCTACAACGAAGTAGGAGTTAGGATTTCTCATTATACTGGCTCAAAAAGCTAGGTAAGGTGCCTGAAGTTACACAGCCTAGAAGTAGTAGGGTTTCTAACCAAGGCCCAAATGACTCCAGAACCTGGGTTACCGATCCCTAAAGACCACTTCCGGGGTTCCTGGAGCTCTCTCGTAAGAGGCGGGGGTGTGGTGGTCCGGAACCTTCTTTTTCCCTTCCGGGTTTCCGGCTCTGAGCGTGAGCGGGAACCTGATGAGGCCCCTGCCCCGGGACCGCTCCTGTCTCTTGGCCGCTTCTGCACGCTGCTGTCACAGGTGACAGAGGACCCTGCCGAGAACTTCCTTGACTCAGAGTTCACACAAGGCTCCCTGGGTCTTCTTGGAAACCACAGACATAGGAGATGCAGTGTCCAGCGAGGCCTGAGCTCAGGGGGCACTTGCTCAATCAGAGAGGAGAAGAGGCGGGGGGGGATGCCTGGGTGAGAAGGAGACAGCAGCGAAAGTCGTGAGAGCACGGGAGGCCGAGCGGCCTCTGACAGGCTGTGGGCTGGGGCAGGCCCCTGCTCCGCCCAGTCTCGGTTTCCATATCGGTGAGCCTAAGCCTCTGTGGGATGCCCTGTAATGCGGACCTCCGACAGGGCCCCGGCAGAGGCACCAGGACAGGAGCGGCGCTGCAGGGAGAGGGAGGAGGGGACTGCGGGTCCGCTGGCCAGGGCCTGGCCTGGCGTAGTGACCAGCGGCTTTCCCTGGGACAGGGCCTTAGCGCCCCTGTAACCAGCTCCGGGTGGTGGGGGGAGCGGGGGGCGCAGTGAGAGCACGGCCCTGGGGCCGGGCTTCCAGGCTTGGAATCCCACTTCTGCCACTTCCTCGCTGCGTGGCGCTGCTTAACCCCCTGTGCTTCCATCCCCTCACCGAGAAAGTGAGGGCTGCAGAAGCTCCTAACAGGGCTGTAGGGAGGGCTGTGGTCCTGCTCGCTCATGGACAGCAGTCAGAACGGTGCCATGCTCAAAACACGTCAGCTGTGACCGCCCTGGCCGGTATGCTGCGTGGTCAGAGCACTGGCCCTCGGGCTGAAGGGTCGCAGGTTCGGCTCCCGGTCAAGGGCACATACTTGGGCTGCAGGATTGATCCCCAGCCCCGGTTGGGGCATGTGTGGGAGACAACTGATGGATGTGTTTCTCTCACTTCGATGTTTCTCTCCTCCCTTCCCTTCCTCTCTTCTGCTCTCTCTAAAAATCAATGGGGAAAATATCCTCAGTTGGGGATTAACAGCAGCCACAACAAAACGTTCGTTATTATCGTTATCTCTTATACTTCTTTCTTTCTTTCTTTCTTTCTTTCTTCTTTCTTTCTTTCTTTCTTTCTTTCTTCTTTCTTCTTTCTTCCTTCCCCCCTCCCTCCCTCCCTCCCTCCCTCCCTTCTTTCCTTCCTTCCTTCCTTCCTCTTCCTTCCTTCCTTCCTTCCTCTTCCTTCCTTCCTTCCTTCCTTCCTTCCTTCCTTCCTTCCTTCCTTCCTTTTTCATTTTCAAGCGAGGACATAGAGGCCCAGAGAGCTCTAGGGAAGAAACAAGGACCTACGGGTGGCAAACAGTTCCCTGTGTGTTTAGCATCTGCACATGCTTTGCAGACCCCGTGGCCACAGCCTCTACTGCCCCCTGTAGCACCGCACCCCACCTGCCTCCCATTGACGGGGGACGTGCAATGCCTGCAACATCCCACCACCCCGGTCCCGCCTGCCCCTTGGATTCCTGGAGCGGCATCTGGCCTGGTCGCTTACTCCCTCTCCTGACGCGTGGCTCTCCCCTGCGCTGCTGCCGCCTGCCCCTTCTCTGCACCAGAGACACAGGGCCCCGTGGCTGCAGCCTCGGGAGGCGGAGCTACAATCCCAGGACAGAGCAGGGTCCGGGACTTACCGTCCCTTAGCAAGTGCTCTGCTGTGGGGTGGCGAGGCAGCGGGTGAGAGCAGAGGGCGGCTCAGAGGGAGGAGGCAAGAGGCAGAGTAATCACCAGTCTCTTCCTCCGGCTCTTCAGGGTGGGCGTAAGGAGGAGGAGGAATGGGCCTGGCCGTCCCAGCCCTGGCCAGCTTCCTCGGGGCAGGCCCCTTGCTGGCTCTGACCCACCCAGCAGAGGTCCCGGAGAGAAAGTGATGCCATGGGACTAATCCAGGAATCCCAACAGACGCTCCAGAAACCTATAGCCCCTTCACCCAGCCCTTGTTCATGCCAGTTCCCTCTCCTGGCACCCTGTC